TGATAGTCCAATAGCCAAGAAGGAAGCTGGCAGACCAGGACGGCTAGGGAAAGGAAGGCAGAAAGGAGCCATTGAGGAGACACCGTGTAGAGGCAGAAGGGGTAACATACCAGGACATTACCAGGTAAGCCAAGAGCATTGGAAATACTTAAATTAATAGAAGTGGGTTAATAATTTAGAGAGAGCTAGCCAGTAAGGAGCCTGAGCCAATGGCCAAACAGTTTCCAATTAATACAAGTCTCTGTGTATTTATTTGGGCCTGAAGGGCAGTGGTATCAGGTAAAGCAGAAACTTTCATCTACAATACACTGATTATTTCAGATATTTTTTCACAATAACAGTGTGTTGACTACCATACCTCCCAGTGACAGCTATGGACATGTGATCCTCAAATACACCTACCTCATCCTTCCTAAGATATCTTAGGCTGTGTTGCTAATGGCCCAACTTCTGGACTTACCATGGGGATACGCAAAGCATGCAGGTAGAAGGAGTGGATCTCCCAATAGCAGCAAATGTTATAGATGAACTTGATAAGCCGGTGGATCCAGAAGACACCAGCAATGACCAGGATAGTGATGAGTGAGCCATTTTCCTGAATTCTGGTAGGGAAGCAGAAAGGGAGGTAGGGCCCTTGAGGTTAGAGTCTTTGCAACATGTTCTGACATGTGAGCTGCTGCCGCATACCCCACTCTATTCTCAACTCACTGGCAGTGTCTCAGGGCCTTCATCTTTACCTGGCACTACAGACTTGGGCAGGCAAAAAGGCGTCTGGCAGAGTGACCTTGACAGGCTCAGTAGGATGAAGACTGTGGTTCACCATCTTGTTGGCAAATAGGATGTCGTAGTCCACACAACTAACCAGGAAGGTGGTGAAGGCAACCACAAAGAGGAACTGCCTGGGAAGTTGAAAAGAGGGGATGCAGGACAAGAGTCAGAGAGGTGTCCGTGAGATGAAGGGGAACAAGCAACGAGCCTGGAAACCACTGAACAAGGTGGGAAAATAAAGGGGCTGGGCAATTCCTCATGACCTCTGTCTACTGCTCAATCTCATAGACATTTTAGGCACAAACCGGCTCCTATATTTTACTCTTGGGTCCAGGTGCCACAGAGGCAGCAAGTTCTACTTTCACATCATGATGCTCTGCAACCATCACTGGACTCGATTTTCAGAGGTTTTCTGATTATGGCCTATGGTCTCAAGCCTTTGACTTGTGTGTGTGTACATGCACACATGTGTGAGTGCAGTTTTTCATGACAGGGTTTCGTTGTGTAACAGTCCTGGCTGTCCTGGAGCTTATTTTGTAGACTAGGCTGGCCTCAAACTCAGAGATCCACCTACCTCTGCCTCCCAAGTGCTGGGAGGCCCAGCTAGTGAACTCCTTTCTTATCATTAAGAAAAACAACAACAAAAGAACTCCCATTCTGCTGGGCGTGATGGCTCATGCCTTAAATCCCAGACTCAAGCAGGCAAATTTCTGTTCAAGGCCAGCCTAGTCTACAAAGGGAGTTCCAGGGCAGGCAGGATACATGAAGAAACCCTGTTTCAAACAAACAAACAAAACCCATCACTTCCTATCTCAACTCTGGCAATAGCAGAGTATTTCTCCCCACTAAAAAGGCTATCTACCCCTCAACAGAGCTAATGTGTAGTCAGACAGAACACAGGCTCATTATTCAACTATAGAGTAAGACCTCCTGACTGAACCATAGATCCTACAGCCTTGAGAGAATGAATTGTAAGTTCTTGCCATGAAAGAGTTAGAACTGGGGAAGCTCTTCTTGCAAGAAGGAAGGCTATGGGTTTTGATATCATGCTGGTCCTTAGCTGTAAAGGTTTGCAGAGTTGGTCCTAGGATTGAGTTGGACTGGCAGGCATGATGAGCAAAAGGGAAGACAGGGAATTAAGTGTTCCTTTACACAGCACCCATCACTTTGCATACTTACATGAGTTCAAAAATCTCTCCAATGAGCATACATGTGAAGCCATTCTTCTGATGTAGATTATACACGTGTGAGTGTTAAGAACAAATGGCCAATAAGCACAGACACTTAAGAACACAGGACTTTGATGTCATCACATTTCCAAGCTGAAGTCCTGGCTCTATAACTTTCTGGAGTGTGATCTTTAACAAGTTACTACTCTAAGCTTTGTCCACAGTGGCAAATTAATAGTAGCCATACTTATCTTTTAGGAGTATTATATCCAGGAAAATGCTTCAAAGTATTTAACTTAGAAATGGCAGACTCAAAAGACATTATTACCATTAACAATCCTATTAGAAAAGTTTCCTTATAGATTAACATCCTTAGAAAAGCTCTTCATAAATGAAAAACAGAAGCATATAGTAAATATCAGGTATCATTATCATTTTTTTCAGGACAGAGTTTCTCAGTGTAGCCTTGGCTGTCTTGGAACTTGAACTATATACCTGGCTGGCCTTGAATTCATTCATAGGGATCCACCCGCCCCTGCCTCCCAAGTGCTGGGAGTTAAGGCGTGTCCCACCACCACCCAGCTGTATCATTATTGCTTTTAACAATCGTTATTTCAGAATGAGTTTCGTTTCTCCTTCCATGGACTGAAGCAGAACTCATCCCCATTTCCCAATCAGGGACCTAACTCAGAGAAAGGCTTTAAAAGGCCCCAGAGGCATAAAGGATATTCGAGAGAAGAAGAGGTCAAGATTTTCAATGTGGTGCCAAGGTGCTGTGGGATAGAAATGTCAGATGTCATATTCCTGAAGTTAACTGTCCCCCGGCGGCCCTGCCCCTTCAGTGTTCCTCCAATAACTTTCACCCTTGCCCCTCCTCTGGTTGTCATGTCCCTAAACTCACATTTGCTCCCCTCAGCCACGTGCACCAACAGGTCCTCTTCCCCTGGGGGTGAATCGCTATAGGAGGCCTCTAGGCGCTGGTATTCGGTGTCAAACTGTGCCATCACCGCAGCCCCCTGTCCACCTTGTTAACCTGCAATCGGCGGTGAAGAAGAAAAGAACGGTATCTGATTCAGGTACTGTGTGCTTTCTGTCCTGCCCACCAGGCCAGAAGGAATGAGAAAGAATCCTTGGGATTTGTCTTTCACACTAACTTCTTTAGCTCAGAAGCAAGCAGGGATAATATCCCAGGAAGAACAGTAAGCTTGGGACTTGAGGGCCCTTAATTCTGGTCATCCATTCCCAGAGCCTCTCCTGGGTGGCTACTGTGCCAGAATCTGCCCCTTTGGTGTGAGGTGAATGGTTTCGTTTTCTGTCTAATGAAGAGAAAATTTCCTCCCCTGCCCCTCCTGGAACCCCTGGTCTCTGCAGCGACTAACAGTTTGGAAGCATTGTAAACAAATGTTTAAGATAAGCACATGGCCCTACCAGCTCCATGGACAGTTTCTGCTCCACGCCAGTCCTGGATGCCCTGGTTGGACAGCTGCTGGAGGAAAAGGTGTCAGGCCTCAAAGGACAGGTGGTTGGAAAAGGAAGGAATCCAACCCTCCCACCCACCCAAGCCCCACTAAGAGGAGGGCACCTATAGAGTTGTGACAGACCTGTCCTGGATGTTCTATGTAAGACCATTCATCCACTTCTAGATACTCAGGGATAACTAAATGCTCTGACCCTGTGGAGTTTGAGTCACTACAGGCCAGAGTCTATACAGCCCTTCTGGACTCTTTTACCTTTGGTCCACCTCAACTTCATTAATCAGGCTTGCTTTTCAGAGTTCACAAAACCCCAATGAGAGTCTTAACATTTTTCTGAACAATCCCTTCTGCTTCCCTAGAATCAAAGACCTAGGTAGGTATGGCTCTGGATGGGAAATTTCCAGTCTATGTAGACTCCACATCCTGATTGGATAAGTGGGTTCTCTGGGTGCCTAGAGACAGGTGGGGTCAAGGCTGTATTATACTCCCAGTCAGTGAAGACTCTGGGGACGGTGGATTTTGGTCCGATCTGGTCCCTGAAGGAGTCCCTAGGTTAGTGAAAGCCATATGCCTCAGAAAAAACACTCACCTGGTCAGTGTAGACCCCGGGCCCATGGATCTCCCCAGGAAGAGCCTGTGCTTAGGGGTGTTTGCGGATGGTGGAGGGGTCGAGCCAGAACTACAGCTGATATCCCTGATGGGCTGGGATGCCTCCCCAAACCCAGCCACCTTGACCGGAGCACAGCGCGCCCCAGGGTCGCCCGGCCCCAGGCCGGGGGCTAGGCTCCCAACAGCGGACAACCCGGCGCGCGGCCCCGGCGCACGCGCGCTCCCCTGGCCGCGCGCGCCCTCTATCAAAACATTCTGGCTGCGCGCCCCCGGCCCGCCCGCCGCTCCCCTTCCCCCGTTACGCATCGCGAGCTCACTTGGGGATCTGTGGGCACCCTTGGGCAGCTTGGGCCTGGGTCTGGGGATTCCAGTTACCAGCCTCGCGTGTCACCGCAGGAACCGCGACCCGGGCGATTCCAGAAGCCCGGTCTGTTCTGCTGGGCTCGGCCAGACCGGGAGCGCTAGGCCCTCCGTCTGTCATTCACTGTCACCCGCAGCCAGTCTGGCCAATGAACAAAGTGGGTGGAGACATGGTGGCCAATTCTTGGCCCAGGGGGCAGGACGAAAGGTTGGAGGCGGGTCTTGTAGAGCAGTGGACCAATAGTGTGCTCCACGTGATGCGGGGCTGGGCTACGAGCACCTCTGTGTGTCCCCTGCGCTGCTCCGTAGCGGCCAGATTGTGTGACAGTGTTGCAGAAATCCAGCTTTCGAATCGTAGACGTGCGTGCGACTCGGGTCTCGAGTCATTAGAGGCGGCTTCTGAGGGCGGGGACGAGGGACGAGGTTCAGTCAGCATGGGCGCACGTCGATCGGTTGGGTAGCCTCGGACTGGTAAGTGCTGGGCTCGCCTGGAGTCTGGGTGCTGTTCATTTCACTTCTGTAAGACCCTCACGTACTCACCGCTGAACTGATTCGTGCAGCGGGTGAGGGCCGGGGGAGGGGGAACTTGTGCGTGGGGATGTGGCCAAGCCGCGCCGGCTGGAGACTCGGCAGTAGAATCTTGTCCTGGGGGCTGTTTCTCCCCTCCGTTTCTGCTCCAGGAGCTGCTTCTGAGTTGTTCTGCGTCAGCCATGTCGCCGGCTCCAGGGACAGCCCTGGCCTCTGCCTCGGTCTCCCTGTTGGACCTTACTGCGGAAGCTTCACTCGTTCAGGGTCTGAGCCTGGTGAGCCAAGCTGCCGCGGAGACTCTGCCCGGGGCGTCGCGTACTCCCTGTCCAGGTATCCGGGATGCTTTGGGGCGGACCTATGATGAACGTCACAGGGTTCCTTGGAGTCTGTTAACACGGAAGACTTTCACATCATGATTTCCCAGCTTAGGAATCCACACTGATTCTGTTGGACATCTCCCCCCCCCCCAATATATTTCAACCTTGCGTGGTTTATGATGCTGGTCCATGAATTGTTCACAAATAAGTCTAGTTTTTGTTTATATCTCGTCACGTTACTAGGTCTATTTCAAATTGAAATGGACTCTTGTCAGATCTAGTCCCTTGTGTTAAATACAGACTTATTTACTGATTTTATAGTTAGTCTTTGGCTGTGTTTTCTTGCACTTGCCTTAGGTCGTCTGCTAAAACTGGAATTGTAAGATGGAAATTGGCATCTAGGAACTTGTTTTATATAGTTAAAAGTAATTTTAATCTGGGAGTTGGCACACACCTGTAGTCCCAGCACTTAGGAAACTGAGGCAGTAAGAAGTGGATGTTCAAGAACAACCTAGACTATACAGTGAGTTCTTATCCAGAAAAAAACAAAAACAGAAAATGAAATGTTGTAAGTGGTAGCTCAGTAGTAGACCTGGGATCTGTCCCCAGTACTGCCGAAGTATTATTTTAGGACTTACTGGGAAAGGAGCTGAATAAGACACCTTGAAGTAAGGTTTTGTTTAGGTATCAAGATGTGCAAGATTCTTCCTGCACTTGTTTTCCTGGGGATGTGCTTGTTCATCCTCGGACAGGCCGCTGTGTGCATCCACAAGTTCACTATTGGGAGCAAGAGGGTATAAGGGGCTGCTTGTTATCTGGATCAATGTAGTTGTTTGTTTGCTTGTTGTTTGTTTGTTTGGTTTGGATTTGATACAGGGTCTTAATACATAGCCTTGGGTGGCCTGGGGCTCACTAGACAGAACTCATTGAGATCTGTCTGCCACTGCCTCCTGAGTGTACCACCATGTCTAGCATCAGTTAAGTTTGATGTAGAGAGACAGACGTACTTCTAGAGTTAATCTTTACTGTGTATCTGAGGATGTGGGAAACATTTTCCTGACTGGTGAAAAATGGTCCAGTTTTGACACTTCACCCTAGACACTTCTCCGGGTGTCAGGTAGCATTAAACAGATAGGGAAAAGGAGGGGTGCAACACGGTGGTACAGAACATGCTTAGGGCATGGGAGGTCTTAACACCCCAGCACTGAAAGAAAATGATTTAACCTCCTACCATTTGTTTTCCACAAGATACCCCTAAACGATCCATTTGGATCCTTGAAATGTAATGTTTATATTAGTTTTATATGTATCTTTTCAAAACTATATGTATTGTACAAAATAGTTACTGTATCATTTATTTCATGATGGCCAGATTGTAAATTCTTGGAGGGCAAGGCCATGCCATCTTCTTTATTATCCTTTTAATAGGTATTTGATATAGTTCTAGGTACTGTAGGTTCACTGCAGGTTGGATATAATCCCTTTCTACTTTCAATTACCCTTTCCTTCTGTTCAGGAGAAAATACAAGTTCAGGAAGAAAAGTATTGCCATGTTCTCTGGATATTTCAGAGAAATTATTTTGCTCAGCCTGTGACCAGATCTTCCAGAACCACCAGGAACAGGTAAAGGAACAGGGTATAGCGCTAGCTGTTAGCAGCAGAAGTATCCTGGTGGGTGGGATGAAGTAGACTCTGGTTTACCTTAAGTTAATAAAGATCCATACTTTGTCTAATGCACTTTGTGCTAGCTGGTTAAACTTCCTACAGTTCTGAGACTAGCCTTGCTTACTGTACAAGGCCAAGGTAGAAGTATTCCCAGTCTCTGTCTCCTGTTCCCTTCACACCAGAGAGAACATTACAAGCTCGATTGGCATCGCTTTAACCTAAAACAACGTCTCAAGAACAAACCTCTCCTGTCTGCTTCAGACTTTGAAAAGCAAAGCTCCGCAGGTGATGCTTGGTATGGGAGAGCCTGTACAGGAGCAGGTATGGGTGGAAAAGGCACCACGAGGTTTGAAGAAAGGACAAAGGTGGTTAAATTTGTATGTCCCATATTTGTCTTCAGGAGATCTTTCCAGCATCTCAGGATCAGACGACTCAGACTCCTCTAGCGAAGAGGACTTGCCAACACTGGATGAGGGGAGGGCTGAGTTTGAGAAACCTAACCGACCCCGGGGATTCTACCCACACCGTGTCCTTTTCAAAAATGCCCAGGGCCAGTTCCTTTATGCCTATCGCTGTGTCCTAGGCCCTCGCCAGGCAAGTAACAGTACAGGTCGTGTGTGATCGATCTCAGCTTTCATATTCTTAGCCTAGGTTTTCATTAGCCAGTGTGTGTCTTATTTCCTCCCTTCCTTTTGGGTTATGCTGTCTTACCTGACAGCAAACCCTTGAACTGAAACTGGCCAGAATTGTGAAAGGGTCAAATGTAAGGGGATTAAGTCTAAATTGTGATTCTACCATTCCCATCTTCTACTGCTATCTCTCCAAGTCTCAAATATCCTTTTTTGCGAAATGGAAATGAGGCTAAGGTAATAAATGAGATAATGCAAATGTAACACATGGATAGTTTGTTCTCAATGCATGCATCACGTGGAATGTTTTTGTTGCATCTGTCATATAGGTTCCCCCAGAAAAGGAAGAATTGCTAATACAGAACCTGCAAAGTGGAGGTCCCAGATACTCCGTGGTGCTCATGGCTGCTGCTGGTCATTTTGCTGGTGCCATTTTTCAAGGGTGAGAGGGTGCTGCATGGGGCTTAAGGATGGACCCTATTAACCTGGGTACACCAGCTCATCTCCAGTACTGAGTATGTACCATCTACAGAAGACAAGTGGTGACGCACAAAACCTTTCACCGTTATACCGTGCGGGCCAAGAGGGGCACAGCCCAGGGGCTTCAGGATGCCCAGAGTAGGGCATCACGTTCAGCTGGAGCCAACTTGAGGCGTTACAATGAAGCCATGCTGTATAAGGTGAGTTGGGCCTCACAGATCTCTGTGATAGCCCTCTGATCTCTCAGTCTTTATAGTTTTCTGCGTAGATCATAGAATAATGATCTCCAGGAATATTCTCTTATTCTTTCTGTCTCTCTAGCTTATACTCCCTGCATATGATCAGAGGGCCATTGTTTTGTTTGGAGGTTTTTTGTTTTTTTTCTTTACAGCAGATGAAACATGCTAAGTGGAGTTATTCTCTTTAGGATGTTCGAGACTTACTGGCAGGGCCAACCTGGGCTAAAGCACTAGGGGAAACAGAAACAATACTGCTACGTGCCCCACGCTCTGGCCGGTCCGTGTTCTTTGGAGGTCAGGGGGCACCCTTGCAAAGGGATGATTCCCGACTTTGGGATATCCCCCTCACCACCCGAAGACCCACTTTTGGAGAGCTTCAGCGTGTGCTCCATAAGCTGATGACCTTGCAGGTGTATGGTGAGCTATTCCAGGCCTTGGGACCTCATACACAGACCTGTATATACCATGGGGTTTTCTAGCCTGTGGACACAGCCCAACTGACCTGCACTGGCTTCTTCACACTTAAGTTTGAGGAAGATTTTTTTGTTTCATGGCAGATGAAGACCCTCGAGAAATGGTCAGATTTCATTCACTTGAGAAACATTGGAAGCCAGTGACAGAGGAGAGGAGAAAGGCTACTGATAAAGAAAAGGCAAAAGTCCCCAGTGATGAAAATAAGGCACTTGGGCAGGATGAAGAATCACTCAAACAAGGTTTGAGCAACATTTGGCAATTGTCAAATATTTCTGCATGTCTGCCTTGGAAATGCAGTGGTCAGTACTCATAACTGACCCATCTACCAGTAGATAGGTGAGCCCTTAAGTCATATCCACATCCATCTGCTCATCCCTACCAGCATCTGTTTATAAAATAAGGTATGTTGTTTTGAGACAGACTTATGTTAGCCCAGGCTGGTCTACAACTCACTGTGTAGCCCACACTGGTCTTGAAATCATGGCTCAGCTCCCAAATGCTGGGATTACACTTATGAGCCATCATACCAAATTGCTTCCTTATTGAGGCAAGGTCTTTGTTATGTAGCCCAGGCTGATCTTGAACTCACTGTGCCAGGACTAAAGGCATGCACCACCACAATGGTGCTTTCTTCTACTTTGTACTGTCCTAATGCTGTTCACTGGGAGAGTTCAGGGACAGAATAAAAACACTTCATTTCAGGATGATCTTTTTATAAATGTAAACCCATCTGAGGACACCCACATCCTTCCACCCTCTCCCTATCCCTTAGATAGAGCTAACATCATGTTTTTTTCTAGGTTCAGAGTCTCAGGAAGAAGATGGCTCCCAAGCAGAGTTGGAGCTAGTAGAGATGACACTGGGGACCCTGGATCTTCGTGAATTTGAGGTATTGCCCAAGCGGAGGAGGAAGAAAAAGAAGAAGGAAAAAAGTCAAGACCAGCAGTGTGGGACACATGTGACATTTCTTCAGCAATCTCAAGAAGATGAGCCATTCTTAAAGCCAGACGAAGTGGTTACAACCCCATTGGACAGTTTGGTTGATGAGGCCAAAGCCCCTGGTCAGCCAGAGCTCTGGGATATGCTTCTATCTGCTTGCCGAGCTGGGGACGTTGAGGTGCTAAAGCTCCAGCTAGCTACTGGGCCCGAAGACCCTGGAGTTATGTCCCTACTCAATGCCCCTTTGGGCTCTGGTGGGTTTACTCTCCTGCATGCAGCAGCCGCAGCTGGAAGAGGCTTAGTAGTTCGTCTGCTGCTGGAGGCAGGTGCTGACCCCACTGTGCAGTAAGTATCTCCATCCTGAGCCAGTGTAGAATTAGAGAGCATCTCCTTTTGGCACTTGAAAAGCAGGAGGCAAGTTGACTCGGTTTTGGGTTTTTGTCCTTAGGGACTCTAGGGCTCGGCCACCTTATACCGTAGCAGCTGACAAATCAACACGAAATGAATTCCGAAGGTTCATGGAGAAGAATCTTGATGCCTATGATTACAACAAGGCTCGGGTGAGCTGGAAAAGGAGCTACAGAGTGGGAGGGCATCAGAGATCCTCACTATGTCCTTCCTACTTCCTTGTAGTTTTACAGTATCTTTGGGAAATCCTCCAGGTGCCAGGGCCACTGACTCAAGAAATGGAGGCCCGGCAGGCTACAAGGAAAAAGGAGCAGAAGGCAGCTCGACGGCAACGTGAGCAGCAGCAGCAGAAGCAGAGGGAGCAGGAAAAGCAGGAACAAGAAGAACAGCGGCGATTTGCTGCCCTCAGTGACCGAGAGAAGGTAAGGCCATAGGTTCTTGTACTGCAAGGCTTCCTTAAGAGCCTGCCTCCCTTTCCAGATTGAGCAGTCATTTCCTGGATGTGCTGTTCACCTCTACGAACCTTCTTTTATTCTGCTTCTCAGAGAGCTCTGGCTGCAGAGCGCCGACTTGCTGCCCAGCTGGGAGCCCCTAGCCCTCCGGTTCCTGACTCTTCAGTTGTCAATGCTGGGTATGGGGGCCAGGGGATGGGTGAAAGGGTGGGCTCTTGTGTCGTAGGAGTCACTTGAGGTACTGGGAATGATGCCTTCATGGTGTTCAGAAGGATCGCGAAGGGGATTCGAGAGTCCCTGGGACCTTTAAGGCTGGGCAAAGCTTAGATGGGGAAGCTGGTGGGGTACCTGTCCGGTCATTTGTCTTCCCTTTATTCAGGCGCTGTTGGAGTTGTGGAGTGTCCCTCCAAGGCCTCGTTCCCTTTCACTACCTCCACTTCTCTTTCTGCTCCACGCGTTGCCTTAGAGACCATCGCAGTCAGGCAGGGAGGCCTTCTTCCTGATTTCTTATAGCCACCTGGGGCCAACGCTGGGCCCTGAGAGGATACATACAGACCTAGAGTTTTTCTCCCTCCTCGTGAAGCTCAAGATTATGTGGAAGATGGGTGAGGGACACTCAGGAACAAGGGCAAAGGTGTCCACACAGGTGTATGGAGCCAGCACTGTCTTTGGAATTTTAATCACAATAAAGTTTGGCAAGAAAACTGTATCTGTACTTACATTCAGAGGGATTGTAGCCTTTGATTCATTTTATGGTCACTGTGGCCAGCACCAAAGGGTCCTGCCCTGTGTCCCAGATTCAAGGGTTGTCTTTCTTTCAGTGCCCACTTAACTCCATTGGTTCATATGAACTTAGTGTTTCTGAGAGAAAATAGTTATATCCCCTATGCAAAGTACTATTGAGGATGGGCTTATCCAAAAATTCGATTATGGGCTCAAGAGGCACACTTTCTAGCTCCAGCAATGTGATTTTGTTGGTCGATCTACCAAACAGCAGAAGTCTTGGCACGTATAGGGTCTGTTGCGGACCCCGCTTTGTCCAATACCGGCCCAAGTTAAACCCATTGATCCATATTTGGCCCTGGGAGAAGGGATAGAGTGTAAAAACAAAGGGTTAGCTCTTCACAGGGTAGAATTATCCCCTTTCAGGTTTTTAATCAGATTAGTAATTTCTGTTCCCAGCTTGTTTGTCTTGTAATGTGCCCCCCCACACTTCAACTACCACCATTAGCAATACCTTGGTCCATCCAGGTAGATACAGAAATGTGTCCCCAAGTTTGCCTAACACCGAAAATGTTGTGGAATAGAAGGCAGGGCCAGAGGAAGCTTGAGGCTGAGCTCTTTTTATCAGCTGCAGGGGGAACCACCACCTTACAAGCTTATCAATTTTGAGAGGGAACATCATCCACTCGGTGAGGATTGTCTGCCCCAGAAGTGGTGGCTCTAACAGGCCCTGTGGGGAAGGCAATGAAAGGTTATTCACTGAGTCCACACAAGCCCTCACTATCCCCAGTCAAGCTCCAGAATGTAACTGGCCATGTCCATATCCTCAAGCACTATCCTTCCACCTAATCCTAAGGGCTGAGTTTTCCATTAGGCCCTGTTCTCAAGAGAGAGGTGGTCAGTACTGGGGAAGAACAGGCAAAACCAGCTTACCTTGAAGTCGCTGTGGTTAGACCCGAAACTGAGCCTCCCCATATTCTCTAGCAATATATCCAGCTGGGCCCCTACTTTCCCAGTCAAATATAGTTCGTGTTTCAAATTACGTTCCAGAACACCCTTGAATACCTGTGGATAGGAGATAGGCTCTATTGTGTAACTTGGTCTGTTTGTGGGGCTCCCAGCAGTGGGACCAGGACCTGTGCCTGACCGCATGAGCTGGCTCATTGGTACTTATTCCCTATGGTGGGATGCTTCTCCTGGCCTTGATGCAAGAGGGAGGCTTGGTTCTGCCTCAACTAGATATGCCACACTTTGTTGATTCCCATGAGAGACCTTACCCTTTCTGAATGGAGATGGAGGAGTGGGGGGGGGGCAAATGGAGGGGGTACACAGGAGGAGTGGAGGGAGGGAAAACTGGTTGGTAAAATTTTTTAAAAAAGGTTGGGGGGAGGGATAGGCTCTACTAAAGCAAAGGCCCAGCATTCAGTTCTTGGCAACTGCACACTTTATTTGGAGGAGAATGTAATCATCTTGTCGTTATCTACCATTCTTCTGGTACTATACATTCATACAAGGTTTCTATGTGGTCCAGGCAGCCACAACTCGCTACATAGCCCATGCTGTGACTTCCCTGCTGCAGCCTACTGAGTGCTGGAGTGCAGGTATGTCCCAACACATCCCTGGTTTATAAACTATTCTTAGTCATAGTCTCCCTCATCCAGCTTATAACCAGAACCTCTATCCATGTGGGCAAACAGGTGGGAAAGGGTTAGAGATGGAGAAAGTGTAAAGCTATAGGGTTTAGGGGGGAAGGGAAGAAATTGAGGTCATAAGTTGGTTGGGAATTAGGTCTTACCCCATCCACCATCACATAGGCACGGTCATGAATTCCATTATTTGGCACCCAGAATGGTGTTGGTTCTACAATAGTGTAAGTCAGATAGGTCCGGTACAGCATAAAGCCATGGTCCTAGATACAGAAGAATGGGTACCTTAAGATGAATTGGTGATAAGGATGGTTTCTGTGAGGAGATTAGTAGCTAGAGGAATTTTTGGTTGTAGCTGCTGAAGGAGTCTGCAAGTTTATGCCTTACCTGCTTGACAGCCTCAAAAGTCAAAGGCAAAACTGAACGGATGGGGCCATGGGGGCAGAGAAAGTCTAGGAAAGACAGCAAATTCCCATCCTGTGAGGACAAAGGGCAATCAAACTGCTAAGTGTCTGAATTGAGGGATGCTCAGGGTGAGTCAGAAAACAATGGTATAAGATCAGGGAAGAGGAGGAGAAACTTACCAGGTTCATAGTCAGAGGTCCAAGCTTCATCTTGGGGCTGGGGGGAGGTAAAGGTCCCAAGGGAATTTCCTGGAACTGAGCCCAAATTCTCTCAATAGTCATAGGAAAACCAAAATAATCCAAGGCCCTAAAAGAAGGTTCTTGACCTGGAACCCAGGGATGGGTTGCAGGGAGCCATGAAGACTCTATAATTTTTCACATGTGTATAGTTCCCCAGAAGATCCTATATGAGTGGTAAATGCTTCAAGGAATGCTCAGGGGGCTCTGTTACCCAGACAAACACCACCAGTTTGTAGAGCTCCTTAACAATAGGGGCACTCTCCCTTCTCCCCAATTAATAAAAGGGCACCTTGCTGATGACATTTCGAAGTGCAAAAAGCTTAGGTGTGGGATCCCCTGCTTCAGATATGGGTGCATCATAGTCATAGCTGGTAGTAATTGGAAGGAAGTGTCCCTTCTCGTCAGCACCTGGATTAAAGTAACTTAATTAATTCAACATCTTCTTAGGTGAAAAGCACTAAGCAAAGAGCTTTGTGCAGAAAATCTCTCAGAGGGGAAAGTGGTAGTTATACACAATTTCTAGACATCCTATCTGTCCAGCCCAAGATTTTAATTCCTTGTGCTTCTACCACAGGGACAGTACTCACCATTCCAGTATCCAAAGTTAGTACCTCCATGAAACATATACCTGAAGGGGGGTGGGTGGGAGAAAGGGCAAAATCTGACCTATGAAATCTTATCTTTAAACCCCAATATCTCCCAGGAATATAACTGTGTCCCCAGTTACATGTTCACACTGGCTCCCAGCTTGAGCATTTTTTCTAGTCCTTGGGCTATAGATACACTGGACCTCGTAGAGTGATTCTGGCCCCAGTAGTCCAGCCAGCCTGTATAGTACTCAGAGTTCACCTAGGCGGGAGAAGTGAAAGGAGCCGTAGTGAGATGGGAACAAAGCTGGACCCATTCCAGTCACATTCATTACTTTCCTGATTCCCCTTCCTGATGGCCCCTCACCAATGGCCCATGGGGTTCATAATTGCGAAGCAGGGAGAAGATTTTGGTCATGTTATCAGCTGCAAAAAGAAACAAGGGTAAAAACAAGCGTCGCAGAGGGGGTGCCCAGACTCCACTCCCAACCCTTGTTTAGGAGACCTGGGCCAAAATCTATAGTGGTATAGAGTCCCTGGAGGGAACCACATTTGAGTCCCTGGGGCCCATCTGTGGTGAAGAGCAGGATCCTGTCTCCTAATAATGCGCGGAAGAGGCCAGCCAAGTGTCTCATGTACTTGAAGTCACAGGCTTTGTAGCTACCATATTCATTCTCCACCTGCCAGGGAAAAGGAAAGAGAGGGGCCCAGCTGTGAGGACACCTTGTCCCTACTTCTCTTGCCCAGCCCACTTCCCATTCATACCTGAATGCTAATGATGTTGCCCCCATTGTGGTAGAGAAATGGATATATCTTGGGCAGCAAGACCTTGAACCAGGAGTCCACAGCAGCCAGGAAGGCTAAAGGAGGGAGCAGTGTGCTCTGCTCATTAGGGGCCACTACCTTCACAGCCCCCTTCCCAGCATCCGTGGTAGTCTCCTCTGTGCTATACTCTAGGTTGTAGCTTCCCTTTCCCTGGCTCACGATTACATCTAGAGAGCAGTGATCCTTTTAGAATTTAATTATTTTTATTTATTTTTAATATTATGAATGGTTTTGCCTGCATGTTGTATCTCTGTACCATGACTGCACAGGAGGCCAGAACCTCTGGAACTGGAGTTACAGACAGTTATGAGCCACCACATAGCTGCTGGAAATCAAGCCTGGCTTTTCTAGAAGAGAAGTCAGTGCTCTGATGTACTGAGCCACCTCTCCAGTCTCAGGGGCAGTGACTCTTAGAGGAAACTCTAGTACAGGAAACTATAGTGTTTCCTAAGACTCCATGCAAAAAAAAAAAAAAAAAAAAAAAAAAGGCTAAACACTTATTATACAATCAACTTACACTTAAGAATGCTGTGAAATTTCACAGAAAAGTAGTGTTTGGCTTGTATGAACTCTTATCTAACGAGCGGCCCATGTGATTTCATGCCCTAAATTCTCAACTATTTATTACCCCCCCAATGCATTCATGCATGTTATTTCCTCTTCTTGACATTTTTTCTCCCATCTCCCTTTCTCTAGTTGATATTAATTTATGCCTCAATTATTTATGCTCACATTTTAAAATTACATTTACTTATTTGTATGTATCTGTGTATGTATATGCTGTTATGATATGACAGCCTAGGGGTGGTTTGGACCAGAAGATAGCAGTATGGGTAACAAGAAGCAGTTGAATTCAATGTTGTTGAGAGTAAAAAGTGTGTGTTTGTGTTTGTGTGTGTGTATTTGTGTGTGTGTGTGTGTGAGTAAATGTATGTGTTGTTCTGGCACATGAGTGAAAGTCAACCTTCAGGAGTCAGTTTTCTCTTTCCATCATCTGGGTCCCAAATATCAAACTCTGGCTATCAGGCTTGGTGACAGGCATCCAGGCATCACTATATAAATCAGACTGGCCTTGAAGTCACAAAGATCTGCCTGCCTCTGTCATCTGGGACTAAAGGTGTGTACCATCATCGCCTGGCTTAAAAGAAGTTCTTAATAACATTTAGTGTGTATGTGTGTGAGTGTGTGTGTGTGTGTGCACTCAAGCCATGGACAACTTGGTTCCCTCCCTTCCTTCACCACATGAATCCAAGGGATTCACACTCAGGCTGGCAGGGTTGGA